GAACAAAGGAAGAGACTATTTTGTTTTTTAATTTTTTAAAGATTTATTTATTTATTTAAAAGAGAGAGCGTGTGCACATGTGAGTTGGGGAGGGCTAAAAAGTGAGAATCTTCAAGCACACTCCCTGCTGAGCATGGAACCTGAGGCAGAGCTCGATCTCAGGACCCTGAGATCATGATCTGAGCCAAAACCAAGAATCTGACACCCAACTGACTAAGCCACCCAGATGCCCCGAGACTATTTTAAAAAACAGTAACCCAAAGCCATCTAGCACTGGACCTCAACAATCTGCTCAGAATGCATGCAGTAGGTGGTCTATAAAGCTTGGTTGGTTGGTTGAATACATGAACTGCGTGGTCTTGAGCAAGTCACTTAACATCATTAAGCTTCAGTCTCTTCATCTATAAAATGGGGTAGCTCAACTCAGGGTTTCTTCATTCATTCAACAAACATTTTTGAGTTCCTCCTCTGTGCCCAGCACTGTTCTAGGCAGTAGGGATGTAGCAGTGAACAAAATAGACAAGGATTCCTGCCCCTGTGGGAGAAATGGAGCAGGGCAAGGGAAATGGGAGTGTGATGGGGCGTGGACTTTCTAATAGGGTGGTTTGGAGCCTCACTGGGAATGACTGAGCCAGTCTTAAAGGACTGAGGAAGCAAATGGTACAGATGTCTGGATAGGACTGCTTCAGGCAGGGGGGAATGTGCCCAGTAGGCTCCTAGAAGAACCAGGGGGCCAGCGGGGCTGGCAGGAGTGGTAGGGAGGGAGGGTAGAGACATGAGGTCAGATGGGTAGCACAGACCAGATAGCCTAGCATCTTGTAGGCCATGGCACTTCTATTCCTAGTGAAAACGGGAAGTCATCTTGGAGGATTTTGAGCAGAGGAATTACATGATCTGACTTAGGTTGTTGTGATGGCTTTAAATTATTATATTAAATATTAAAATGAATATTAACTATTTAAAAGGACTGGCACAGGGCCTGGAACATGGCTTGTGTATCTCCTGGCCGAGTGTCCGGAATGGGGGCATCCATTGATGTGTGCTCAGGGGTGTGTGGGCCTGGATAGGGAGGGCACTGGCCGTGCGAGTCGCTGGCGCCCTCTCCTGGAGGAGCCCGCACTAGCTGTGACCCCCGGAAGCCATCCAGCTCTGGCCAGGCCCGCCACCCAGGGCAGCTGGCTGGCGGCAGGCATTCATCTGTCCCTCAGAATGGGCCCCATAGTGCCCTGCGGCCTGGCGCCTGGCTGGCTTTGTGCTGCCAGTCTGCCCTGCCTCGCGATCACAAGCCTATGGTGTCATGGAAAGAGATCTAGACTCCTGGACTCCAGAGACCAAGGAGCCTGGGGCCTGGTCTTCTAACCACAGATAATGCTGTGTGACCTTGGCAGTTCAGCCCACCTCTCTGGGCTGTGAGGAGTTTCCCGCGGGTCATAATGATGCCCCGTGCGCCTGGCACATGGTCAAAGGTCAGTAAATGTTGGTTGGATCAGTGAATGAAGTGGGGGCTATCAGCCTTCCCAGTAAATATTTAATTTAGAGAAAAGTAAATAAAAGCGCTCAGTGGGTATTCATTCAACAAGTAGTTAAATATTTAATGAGCACCTTCTATAGAGCAAGCACTCTCCCGGGCACCAGGGAACGGGTGTGAGTAAAACGATGAAAACCTTCCCCTTTGTTGGCTGGCATTCTGGTCCTGAACCAGAGGTCATTGACATATTTGCCCAAGTGTCCTGGGCAAGCAGGTGAGAGGAGGAAGAGGGAGGGGCCGGTGGGTGGGAGGTAAGGTCTCAGGCGTAGGGAGAGGAGGGAAGTCAGAGTAGACAGAGAGGGCAGGACCGTGTCCACTGAGCCCTGGAAGGGCTGGGGGACTGGAAGGCTTAGGGACACATGTGCCTCCATAATCCTTCCTACCTCACTCCTCAGGTGGGATCTGAGTTGGTCTAGAAATGGGTCCCCTGGGTCCAGTGAGAAGTGACTCAGACCTCTGTGAGCTCTCTTCTTTCTTCGTGATGTTCAGAGTCTCAGAGGACAAGACACCGTCCCAAGGAACAGGGAGAGGTTTTGCCATGCCACCATGGAGGTGATGGGGTGCATGTGTACGACCACATGGAACCCAGATCTTTTTTGGCTTATTTTGTCCATTCTTTGGGAGCACCATAACCATGTCTCCTGCCCTAGAGTCCCTGCCTCACTGTCCAGCTCCCAAGGAGATAGGCAAAGCAGAGGACTTAGAGCCAGAGGACTTCTACTTAGGGATTTTTTTGGTTTTGTTTTTTATTTATTTTTTTTAAGATTTTATTTATTTATTTGACAGAGAGAGACAGCGAGAGAGGGACACAAGCAGGGGGAGTGGGAGAGGGGGAAGCAAGTTTCCCACGGAGCAGGGAGCCCAATGCAGGGCTCGAGCCCAGGACCCTGGGATCACGACCTGAGCCGAAGGCAGACGCTTAACAACTGAGCCACCCAGGCGCCCCAGTTTTGTTTTTTGAAAGATTTTATTTCTAAGTAATCTCTATACCCAACGTGAGGCTTGAACTCACAACCCCAAGATCAAGAGGCAGACACGCTCTACCAACCGAGCCAGCCAGGCACCCCGAGAACCAGAGGACTTCTAGTCCCAGGAAGCCTCTGCTCAGAGAATGCTTCCCCACTGGGGACACAGGGTAGGTCTGAGCCTCCTCTCTTTTCTGAACAAGTGGGTAGTAGTCACAAGAGACTGATGTGTGCTGAGGAGGAGGGCTTTCTGACTGACAGAGCTATCCCCAGCTCCAAGGAGTCAGGAGGTAGTGTGTTCTCCGACACCAGAGACATTCAAGCAGAGCTTGATGACTGCTCATCAGAATGTTAGGGCAAGCCTGGGGAGGCGACTTCCGGGTTGTGGGCATCACTCCCTGGGGGACTTGCCACCTGACTCTGAGAGTCTAAGATTTCTAGATTCTTTCCACTTTAGTGACTAGTCTACACCTAAGCTTTTTTGGAGGGTAGGGATGCCTCTAAGACCTTCCCTGACCTGTGCATCCCTTTATCCTTTATGGGATAGATGAGCGAGCGTACTCATTTAAGGGAAAGAAGAAATTGCTGAGAGGCTCCTGACATTACTCAGAGATAACGTACACCACCTCGTATCCACCCGAGCCCAGCCTCACCCAAGCATCTCTCTCACAGAGAGACTGGCTCAGGTTCCAGGGCCCCCGCTAGGCTCAGGAGTAAGCCCCTCACCCATCCCTCCTCCTATATCCCAGGGTGAAGACACTGCAAATGCTACTTCTAATTTCACTTGGAATTCCACTATGGGTTGATTGGGGGTAGTTCTGAGGTTTGCAGCGTTCATCCCACTAGGGTGCTAGGGGGAAAGAAATGACCACGGGTCACCAGTGGTAGAGGGTGGGGACCCTGGGTGTGCCCATGGTGCTCCCCAGGGAAAGCTGAAGAATACCATAGAGAAGGGGGTCTTCTTATAGGGAGGAGCTGCTTAACCCAAAGGGAAGGGGCAATTTATGAGCAAGGGTAGCATCCAAGGAGAGGAAGAAAGAGACACCAGAAAGCCTTTGGAAGTTTCTGGAAAAAGCCAGTTAGGAATGTCAGACTAGGGAACTTAAGACTAAAGCCCTATTAGGTTTTGGATTTTTTTTTTTTCCCTTACAGACTGTCTGAGTTTACCATGTTTGTGATCCCTACCCTCTTTTTCTCTCCTTTAAAGAGTAATCTCTTAAATCTGTGAGGACTAACTTGAAGGCCGAAGCCTATATGGATCCATCAAGCTTCCTAAATCTCGGACCCATCTGAAATTTATTTTTTGGAAGGACTGAAAAAAGACAGGCTTCACTCCTTCCCCGCTTGGCTACCCAATGGCCCCCAAGCACATATAGAATCATTAAGCGTTCCCCACAGAAACCTTTAACATACCTGTGTTAATATTTTGTTCCAGGATTTCCTCTTTTTTTTTTTTCATATGTCCTACATTCTCCTCCCCTATGCTTACCAAATTCTCCCCAAATTTCCCTTTGGTATTTTCCTTGAGATTGCATTGCATTGAAAGTCTAGGTTAACGTAGGATGAAATGATATCTTTAGAGTCTTCTTCTCCAAAAACAAGATAGAACTTTCTATTTTTCTTAACATTGTTATTTTTCCTGAATCGGCCCCTGTCCGTAGAAGGTGCTCAGGCAGATTTAATGGGACAGGGCTGTGAGCTGCTTTGGGGAAGGGAATAGGAGAGCCCTACTTCAGAGCCCGTCTGTGTCTGTCAGAAAGAACAGCAGGTGGTGTCCCTGTAGCCTGATGGTCTGAAGCTGGGGTAGGGGGCCCCAGGGGGGCATTCCAGGAATTGGGGTCTAACAGGAGGTATTCAAAGCTCCCTAACAAAAGCCCCCTGCCCCCCCCCCACCATAGGCCACATACACACAGCAAGGCTGGGAGGTTCTGGGAACAGCAGGGGTGACAGGCCCTGGGGGACAGTCTGAGTGGGCAGGAAGCCAGCACATAGTCCATCTCAAGGGGCCCCCAGAGGTGATCAGGCAATCAACACATCCAGGGACGTGCTAGGCTAGTACTTCTCTTTTTATTGTTTTTGTCCAGAGCCCCTGCTGCAGGGGAGGGGCAGGCACGGAGGGGGGCACCCCTCCGCTTGCCTGAGACCGCTCTCTGCCTCTCACCTCTCCTCTCCACGCCAGCATCTCACTCACCCTCTCTCCTTCTGAGTCTCCTGCTCCCACATCTGGCACCTTCGGGGGTTCCCTCTTGCAGCCCCTGCTTTCTAAGCCCACCCTGGGGAAGGTAGGGACCTTGGGGTCCATTTCTAGCCCCCGTTCCCACAGGGGCTAGTCTTCCAGTCACCTGCCCGGCTTGCTGGGGCGGCTGCCCTGTTTCTCTGACCCAGGCTAGGGAGTAGGGAGTGGGGGGGTCTATAGGTTCCATCCCGATCCTGCCCTGGGGCCCCTCTCCAAAGGCAGAGGCTAGGGCCTGAGGTCACAGAGGTGGGAGGGGACTGCTCTCCCCTGGTTCCATGCTGGCTCTGCAGCTAGGAGCCAGGCTCACTCATGTCCAACATCCAGGACTCAGATAGCTGGGGCTGCCTGTGCCTGGACAGGGGTGGGCCATGGCCCCTGTGGGGAGCCCCTGGACAGGGGGGCCATGCGTGGTGGTCGGTGAGCAGGGGTCAGAGGCTGTGAGGGGAGCACTGTGGCTGGGTGTGGGTGTGGTGCCCTGGGATGGAAGGAGGCTGGCTTCAGGAGGCAGTGAGGACAGGGGCAAGGATGGTCTCTGGTGGCAGAGGGACCTCTGGCTTTAGAGCACCTCGTGTTGCTGCTGTGTAGCCTCACTGACAACCTGGGGAGGAAGAGAAGCCCAGTCCAAAACAGTGTTGGCCGGAGAATGGAGCCCCAGCCCTGGGTTGTGCCCCCCCCCCACCCACTCCAGTGTAGCAGGAGCCCCTCTCCCTCCAGGCAGGGCCTTGAACCAGCACAGCTGGTGGAAGGCATCTGGGTGACAGCCTCACAGACATACCCCAGAGCCCCCACCAGGCTAAGGGAACCAGGCAGATGGCTCACCTCCCCATCCCGGGTCTCGATGGTCTTGATCATCACCGTCTTCTTGGTATGGACCTCAGAACCCCTTTGCTCCGGGCTTGTTTCTGTAACAGATCCATCCACACACTCCGCCTGACCAGGTCCAGGCCTGGGCCACTCCAGGGACTGGGAGTCCATCCCTGGTCCCATGGAGTGATAGCTCAGAAGACTCCTACCCCCTCAAGATGGGCCTATTACTTTTGCAGCAAGACTTTATAGCCTGCCCTTAAGCCCAGCACCCAGCAGGTGGCTCTACAGATGCTGGGGACAGTCCCATGGCTGAGATGGGCTCAGGAGCCAATAGATGTGCTCCAGCTATGAGCTGATTCAGGAAAGTGGGGGACCCCTGAGGCCCCAGGCCACCCAACGTTCCCACTCCTCACACATTTCTTCACCCCCTCTCCACCCCCGGGGTCCAACACAGCCTTGTGTGAATTTGTACCCTGACAGAACCCCAAACCCAGTCCCAAAATACTGTTTTGGAGGACCTCATGGTACCCAGCCCCCTTTAAGAGTCCAGATGAGGGGCACCTGGGTGGCACAGTCGGTGAAGCATCCAACTCTTGGTTTTGGCTCAGATCGTGATCTCAGGGTCATGAGCTTGAGCCCCACATCAGGTTCCACGCTCAGCACGGAGCCTGCTTAAGACTCTGTCTCCCTCTGCCCCTGCCCCCTGCCCTTTCTCTCTAAAATAAATAAATAAATCTTAAAAAAAAAAAAAAAAGAGTCCAGATCAGTAAACAATGTCTTAATGAAAGGGAGACAGACAGGAGTCAGTTACTGATTCACTATGCCGGTGACCAGTCCCTTGCCTCTCTAGGCCTCAGTTTCTTTGCCGTGAAACCCTAGCAACAATGCACTACCATGGCCACAGAGCCATTGATTTGAAAAAGCATTAAGCGGTTTCAATTGCAAGGCTCACACTTGGGTGTCTGCATAAATTCCTGAAAAAAGAGGTTCTGAGTTTTATAGGGTGGGTCAAATTTAGGTCCTGGGGATTATGAGTTTGGTGTTCATAAATCACCTCAGCGAGCAACCAGCCTGTGATGAACGTTGTAACTCGGCGGAGCACAGCGTGTATTTTTCCCGATGGAAACGAACATCGAAGACAAAAAAGGTTTGATCTAGGAAAGGCGACACTGCCAAGGACTCCGACTTGCTTTCCTAATGTATCATTATAGCATGTTTTTCTGCTCTCTGGGGTTGGAAAGCCACTCGATCTGCATATTATTAATGTCAAAATGGCAGAATGCCCTAGGAGCTCGTTCTTTTAATTGTTTGCCTTTGCTAAGGTTTGGCTTCATTTTTTTTTTTTTTAAACGTGCATCCAACATCTTGCTCCAGCAAACTGAATGTGTTCAACAAGCAGCTGGGGGGTGGGGGTGGTGGGGGGTGCTTGGCAATTTGCCAGACAATGGCTGGTGGGTGCCTTGTAGCCCAGGGTGTGTGGCTCTAGATGCTTCTGCTGCCAGACCCCCAAGGACACCCCTGGTATCTTCAGAGTTTGGGTATATTGGGAATAGAAGCTGTTTGCCGATGTTCAATACTCCCAGAAGGTGCAGGGGACATGGTCAATATAATATAATACCATGAAATAAAATAAAAAGCTCTCTCTGTTAGAAGGTGCCCCTACCTAAACTTTCCCACCTACCTGCAGCAGCCCCCTTTCTCTTTCCCAGACCCCAGCTTCCATCCCCCCTCCCTGGTTGGCCTTGGGCAGTGCCCATGCTGGACTCCTGCCCCCTGCCACCCCAGCATCCACCTGCCAACACGCACTTACCTCGGAAGTTTAGAGCAGAGAAGGTCTGGATGGGGAGGTTGATCCTGAAAGGGGAGAGATCAAGCCCCGGAAGGCTTAGGGCCCTCTATCTCTCCCTGTGACCACCCATCAAAGCCTGCCCCGGTGCTCACTAAACGCCACTGTCAGCTGTCCCTGTCCCCCACTTTCACACTGCTAAGGGCACGGGGTCAAAGGGCAACTCCAGCTATCCCAGGAACTGTCCCTTCCGGGAACTGTCCCGTTCCATCTCTGACCTGCTGGCCTGACATCAGTACTCCCGACCCCCCTGCCCTCTCTAGTTCGCCAGGATCTCCTTCTTCAGGCACTGCAGGGTATATGGATAACAGCTATAGGCCACATCCATCACGTATGCCCGCCCTCCAGCCAGGCTGGGGACCTCTGGCCCAGCCATGGGAGGGCAAGTCCCAGGGTAAACGCCATCCCCATTTATGCCTAGTGCAGGGAAAATGCAACACATCTCGAGCCGCCTTAAAAGGTCATTATATATGTACATGTAATTCTATGAAATCTGACCTCTCTCTATGTGCAGGCCTGTATTTAAACATGCCTGCTGATTATTTTAAACTTTAGATATTACTGTTTTTATGAGTATCAATAAGCATCATTTTTTTTTTGAGTAATTGACCTGTTTTAAAACGAGGTTAGGTTGACCTACAGTGAAATGCACAGATCTTCAGGATGCAATTCAGTGAGTTTTGATCAGTGTCTACATCAACGTAACTACCAGCCTAAATCAAGATACAGAACATTTCTAACACCCCAGAAAAGTTCCCTTGCATTGCCTTCTAGTCATATGTCATTTTCAGTATCTATAAGTGAGTTGTTCTGAGCATGTCATGCTATCTTTTCCCATGAGCTTGTGTGTGTGTGTGTGTGTGTGTGTGTGTGTGTGTGTGTGTGTGTGT